AATCTGAAGCAGGCTCCAGGCTCTGAGCTGTCAGTACAGAGCACAACACGGGGCTCAAACTTACAGACTGCAAGATCATGACCTGAGCCCAAGTCAGACACTTAACCAACTGACCCACCCAGGCACCCCAATCTTAAACATATTTCTAAGTAAAACCTGCAATATCTTCTGCAATTATTCTGCAGACTATGTAAACACACATCAGGAAGAGATGATCAAGTAAGAATCATTATATTTATATGTAAATCCAAGCATACAACTGAAGAATTGCAAGATCTTCAACAGGATGACTAACATTTCAAAAGTCAACAGGGTCTAAAACAAGAGACCTCTTGAGTGTCAGAATTAAACTAAAGACTCAAAATACAGGAAACAAATTATCTGCCAGAGAAATTCTGGGGAAGAATTCTCAACAAAACCTACCTCAATAGTTCTCAAAACTGGTTCAGAATAAAATCACCATAACAGCTACAACAAAAAACACAAGTGCCCTAACTGTAAGAGTGTAGGGCCCTAATGAAAAGTGTAATAAACCTCCCCAGGTGCTTCTCATATGCATCCAGGGTGGAGAACCTCTGTTTATTATGGATTCTTTTTCATACCCCTACATAAATTAAGACTAAATTTTGAGGAGAAAAACATGTTCCTAAGCCCAGTAAAGTTCCAGATAATTCTAGTCTACCAGAGAGTAGATTTTCTTTATTTTATAAGAAAACATCACCCCTACATTACCATGAAGACAACATTTATACCAAGGAACACTTCTCTCTCCTATTTAAAGTACTGTCGTAAGATTTTCTGATTAGAGGGATCATCAGCACTGCAGAACATAAAAGAAAATTTGTAGTATTCCACTAGGACCATTACCGATATTTCTTCCTGTTTAAAAAAATTTTTAGGGGCGCCTGGGTGGCGCAGTCGGTTAAGCGTCCGACTTCAGCCAGGTCACGATCTCGCGGTCCGTGAGTTCGAGCCCCGCGTCGGGCTCTGGGCTGATGGCTCAGAGCCTGGAGCCTGTTTCCGATTCTGTGTCTCCCTCTCTCTCTGCCCCTCCCCCATTCATGCTCTGTCTCTCTCTGTCCCAAAAAATAAACGTTGAAAAAAAAAATAATTTAAAAAAAAAAATAAAAAGATTTTTAACTTTCTAAATTATAAATAAAATACTAAGTTTATTTTACACAAGTTTAACCAATCAACTAGAAATCATAATTGAAATATAATTCCTATTTAATTTCAATTTTAACATTCAAAAGTAGTCCAATTAAGACAGTCTTACTGTTCTAGAATCCGAGAATGGATTATATTCATCAAGTCCTGGTGGAACATTTCTTGTCACTTGTGTAACTGATGGGTCCTGGAATAAAATTCAAAGGAGAATAAAAGATTACTTATCCTTTAAGGCACAATTTTGATATTTACAAAGCATTTATTCCATCTGTATTTCTGGTCACCCAGTGAAGCTAACAGGAAAATAAAAAGATTATCACATTTCCTCACTCTCATCCCAACAAGGTTGAAATTTATACCCTCAGCCCTCACACTCTCAATGAAAAAACTGGGTTAGATGCAAATCAGTGCTGGCTATTATATAAAGAATGAAAATAGCTATGTGGAGGTGACTGCACAAGAGCACCTTAGCAAACCTTGGGTAAACCCACCATCCCTTCCTTTAGGTTCCACAGTTCCCATATTTTTAAAGTTATCTTCCATCAGTTTTCCCTACTGCAGATATAAGTACCACATTACAAGTCAATGTCATGTACAGGCAACATCTATAGCATTCAAGATTAAGCACCATTTACATGTTTTATTCTGCTCCAATATTTTCACTTGACTATAGTTTACTTTGTCCTGTTTCTCCTTTTCCAAATACATCACCAAACTATCCCAACTTTTCAAATCTTTTCATGTTAGGCTTCCAAATAAGTCCCAAAATATTAGTTAATCTACTTCTCTTGTGAATTTAAGACACAAACATAATAAACATCTCAACAAAAACCAACTGCATAATTAATGTGAAAGGCATTTGCAAACTGTAATACAGCCTCATTGGCCTTTCCATCCCTAATTCCAAACTTTGGCATGCATCAGAATCAAAACAGATTGCTGCAACCGACCTCTAGAGTTCTGAGAAGGGGCCTGAGAATCTGTATTTCTAACAAGTTCCCAGATGATGCTACTTGCCGCTGGTTGGGGAACCACTGCTCTCTTGTCTATACTGTACTTTTTCCAATCCATCTTTCTCAACACAGTCATCAAAGTTACCTGTCAAAAAGGAAAAGCTGATCTTGTCATTCCCCTCCTCTATTCCTAATCCATTTCAGATTCTTTAGAGGCTCTCTCTCCACCAAGACAAAATATAAATTCCTCAAAATGAGATAAAAGACTTCTGACCATCTAACCTAGTCCCGAACTACCTTTCCAGCCAGACTCATCTATTCTCTCTGAAGGACCTTCCTCTTGCCAGGTCCTTCACTCCCCACCAAATCAAACAAGATATTGCATAAGGAGCCTTGAACTTGGCAAAAAGTGGTAAGGATAAATTAAAAGTATGGCACAGACAAAAAATAAAAAAACTATGCTTGTTCAACAATAAAAAAGGAAGGAGGGGTTGAAATCACTCTATTTCCCAGGGTTGTCCTCCCAAGTTTACTCAAAAATGTGAGAAGCAGGAAGATTATCAAAAAAGAGTGTGTGCTTCAGGGAAAAAAGTGAGAAAAAAGACACATGAATATTTTAATCAAAATTTTCAGTTTGGCACTGCTGTGGTTACCTTAATTCAGAAGAGGGTTTAGGAGGGTGAGTGGCTGGTTCAGTCAGCGCAGCAAGCAACTTTTGATCTCAGAGTTCTGAGTATGAGCCCCACATTGGGTGTATGGATTACTTAAAAAAGTAAAAAAATTTTTTTTGAAAAAAATGGGTTTAGGGTCAACAAGTGGAGACTTAGCAAATCCTAATGGTCCAGATGCAGTCTCGATGCATTCCCCTCATCCCTACCCACAAAACCTGGTGACCTGGGAATTCTCCACACCATACTCTTCCTTGGCATTGCTTCCTGTGGTTGAAATACTCTTCCAGGTTGGGTCAACCTAGCATTCTCCTCTTCCTTAAAGACTCAAAAAAACACTTCACATGCTAACTAATAAAATCCCTGATACCCAAGTCAGTACAACATACGCTTAGTGCTTTCTCAGAGCTTGGTATTCATCTCCATCATCATTTATTTCACTGAATCATGATGATCTTCATACAATTCCCCTTTCCCAAATTAGACTGTCACTTCTTTGCATACAAAAACCACAAATAGGTGTTTTTTAATTTAATCATATGTGCCTGGTAATACTGTTTGAGTATTATTACCACCCCCAAAGAGAAAAAAAAATCTACAGACTAATGCTTCAAGGCGCGCCTGGGTGGCTCAGT